GTGGGAGTGAGGACGGGCTGCAGGCCCAACACTGATTTGCTGGGTTACCTCCCTTACCTCAGCTCCACCATCTGAAAAATGGGGAAATTCCTGCAAAGTCCAGCAAGAGAAAGGGGCAGGAGGGGTCGGCATCATGGAAGAAAAGGGCCGGTTTGGGAAACTGAGCCAGCACTGGTCTGGGATGTCCCCAGCAAGAAGCAAGGAACCCCTGGGGTGGAAGTGGGACTGGGATGATGTAGGATTCTAGAGGGAGCGTCCGATCTTCCTGGAGTACAGCTGTCCCCAGGCTCCCAAAGCCCAGGGGGTGGACCCTGATGCAACTGTCAGGCAGTGACATGGAAGAGGTGCAGAGGGAGGGGCTGGGGGGTGTTGCTCGCCCCAGTGGGATGTGGCTGTCCTGCTATCCTGGCTGGAAGAGCCCCAGGGGTCCTGTGGCCCTGCAGATGGCTGGAAAGGCAGGTGGCCAGGGCACAGGGAGGATGTGGGCTGGGGGGGATGCCTGCCCACAGCCTGCCAGGTGGTGGTTAACCGCTTCCAGCCTGTGACCCACAGCCAGTGCCATGTGTGACGAGGGCTAGATCACCTCACTCGTGTCACAACTCAGGCTTAGCAAACGCCGGCTCACTGGGGAGGGAGGACCCATCCTCAGCTCCCTGAAGCTGACAGTCAGATCTCTGAGTCCCTGTGCTGCCACTCCCCTCCACACCAGCCCCCATGGAACAGAAGGGTAAACTGAGACCCCAAGGGGCGGGGCTGCTAGGTGGGACCACCTCCCAAGCACACCCAAGGCCTCCCCTTCCTGTCTCCCCTGAGGGTGTCATGGTGGGCATGGGTCAGAAGGACTCATATGTGGGGGTGTGCCCAGCAAGCATGGATCCTGACACTCCTGTGCCCTGTGGAGCATGGCATCATCACCAGGGCAGCCAGCAGGGGGCTGGGGCACAGCCTGCCTCTCTGTCCATTTATCGCCCTTTCCTCCCCCATTCAGCTGAGTGGAGATCATGCAGGTACATCAAGGAAAAGCTGGGGTACCTGGCCCTGCACTCTGAACACGAGCTGGCTACAGCTGCCGCCTCCTCTCTGGAGAACTATGAGCTAGCTGCACAGGCAGGTTGTCACCACTGGCGACAGGCGCGTCCCCTGCCCCCAGCCCCTCTTCCAACCCTCCTTTATGGGTAAGCCTCACGAGGCAGCCGCTCCTCCATATTAGCCTCAACTCCCCCCACCTTTCTTGGCAGCCCCTGCATGGCACAGAAGGATTAATACGAGCAAACATTCCACAGCGCCCAGCACACGCGAGCGCTGAGCGTGAGCTGTCACTTGCCTATCGGGCTCACTAAATGCCAGTTTCCTCCCTGTCACAGCCAAGTAGCAACATGTTTGCTTCTGCTGTCCAGCCCACGAGGCTCCTCCCAGCACCTTCCCACCTATCCAGACCGTTGTCCTCAGGTTGCCGAGGAGCCGCCTCTGTTGCCCTCAGAGGAAGCACAGGGAGCTAGAGTAACGCTGCCCTGTGTGACCAGACCACCCCCAAAGCCTGGCAGTCAAACCGTTCGGTGCCAGGCTCCTTCCACTGGGGAAACCGCTCAGGCTTTGACCACTCATCCAGCAACTGTGCCTCCTGCTCTACCTCTTGCTGAAGGTGTGGCATTTAGGCAAGTGCCCCTTGAGCAAAGAAGCCTGAGCTGCAGCTGGAGGGAAGGGTGGAGGCAGAGGTCGAACGCAGCCGCTGTGGAGGACCAAAGGGGCCCTGGCCACTTAGGAGGGTGAAGGGCGCAGTTGAGGGAAGGGCCCCACCCTTTCCAACCTTGGCTTTTACCCTGCAGCAAGGGAATGGTCATTCCAAGGAATTCCTGCCTGCGATGAAAACAGCCTTCAAGGAACAAGGAGCTTTTTGTCACAAGAAATCTGTTGTATGATGAGCCAGTGAAATGTTCAAGGACCAAGACACCTTTCTTTGTGCCTCAAAGATAAGACAGTGCACAAACCATCCCCTGGGTGTGTCCCTGCCCACAAGGCCAAGGCCACAACATGCTGGCACCCTGCCATTTCCCCAGATAACTGACCCCCCAGAGCACAAACACTCCACGTGGAGTTCCATCCTGGCCTCCCTCTCCACCTTCCAGCAGATGTGATCACCACGCAGGAGGGTGACAGGCCAGCCCCTTCAGTATCCACAGGAAGTGCTTCTGAGCCCTACCTCCGGGCCCACTTCCTGCCTCTCCTCCCAGCTCACCCTGGGCCAGGGCTGGCAGGAGTCCCGCCTGGGAGAGAAGCCGCATGGCTCCATCTGTCACGCTTGAGGGGCTGGCCGGAGCCTCCCCCAGCTCATAACTTTTCTGCCCTGTCAGGCCTGACATGAGTTACCCTTCCTTTGAGCCTTTGCCTTTTGTGAGTGGAGGAAAGAGGGGGTTGGAATCCTTTCAGGACACAAAGAATATTCTGAGTAACCCAATAAAGTAAAAGGGAGGAAACACTGACACTCTCATCTATTCAACTCCCACACAGTATACTGGAATTTATGTTCAGCCACAGATGTCAGGTATCACAACGCCTGGCTCAGGGCTCTCTCCGGAATGACCTCTACCAGGGCTTCTGGGAAGTGGGAAAAACACAGGCATTCGGTCTCAGTTCCTAACTCTGGCTGCTCACCAGACACCCAGAGGTTTCTCAGGAAAGAAGGTTTCACCCGAAGCTTCTTTTACAGGAAGGGATGTGGGGCCATCACAGCTACATGCCCCCCAAGGTATAGACCCAACTCTGGGGCATGTGAAGATCCAGGGTGTCCCCAAGCCCACACTGTCCATGGCACCCCAGCATCTGGCACTATCCCAGCAGCTGAACAAAGTATCTTTTATTTGTGACATACAAATACAACCAATGCAAAAAGAGGTCACTTTTCCCCTTTGATTCCAGTGATAACAAGTTGCTAAAGAAAAAATATATATCAAGGAGGAGTTTATCTTCAAAGTTTCCTCTAAAAAACCCAGAAAGGGTTAAAAACCATACACATTCATATGCACATTTGACATCAACAAAAATAACCTGAAACAGAGTGAATACAACTAAAAGAAAAATCTTAAAAAGTATCTTAATGTGCCCCAAATGAACGATAAACAAAAAAGCCCAGTAAAGGCCTGCTATGCTTCTCATAACCAAGACCTGGGAAGTGGAGAAAGACTGCGGGTGAGAACCGAACGGGCTCAACACTGACAAGAGTGCCCTGCTAGTCTCAGGCAGTGCCTCGCCCGCCCCTGCCCCGACCTCCAGGGCAGCCCTTCGGGAAGTGGCCAGCAGAGGCTGGACCAGCAGGGAATGGCACCAAGCACCCCAAATGGATTCGGTGCCAGGTGTCCAATGATTGGAAAGACAACATACACTGAACTCACCTTATGTGGGATTTACACTGGGGGTTCCTTTTGGTCCCCTTGAGTGGGAGGTATCAGAAATCCATGATCTAAGACAATAAATAATTATCATTCTGTGTCCTTTGAGGGACAGGGATTAGAGGAAACTCTTCCTAAACATGCTCTGTCATTCCATGATTCTTGGAAGCCCACCAATGTCCTCCCAGAAACTGAAACTCTCTCCCTCGGGTAAAATCCCCCAAGCCAACAGGACAAGGACATGGGTGGGCTTATTCCAGTGTAAAGCCACAGGGCCCTCTCCAAGGGAGTGACCCATCTCACAGCTGGCAGGGTCAAGAGCATTGAGGAGTGCTCAGCGGGGCTGGGCTGGGTGAAGGAGGCTGTGTGCACAGACCCCCGCACAGGCAGGGAGCTGGGGGAGAAGCAAGAACAGCTCCGGGGAGATCTGTCAGCAAAGACACCCGAGTCAGGGCAGAGGGTGGGCTGCGAGCAGCCTCTGAGGTCAGGAGGACCCACAGACCTCCAGGACAGCAACTTCACAAAGGCTAGAGCTTTAAGACACTCCCTAAAGCAGAGCTCAAGGATGTCTAAGGGAGGCATTAGGTGCTTTTTCCTGGATAATGATTTGGTCATTTTTTCCCTGGAGGGGGAACAAGGCCTAGAGATTAGGGCAAGTGTAAGCTCTGACCCCACACCCTCTATCCTGTGAGAAGAGGAAGGCCTTCTCCTCCCCAGCTCCAGCCGCTGCCGCAGGGTGATCCCAGAGAGAGGAAAGCAGCTGATGTGGCCACCTAGGCGGCCCCGGGCCCTGCTGCAGCCTGAGCTGCTGGCCAGGGCAGTGACACTAGTGCCTCACTGAGGCAGCGAGGGGAGAGGCTGGGGAGTGCAGGCAGAGGGCCTGCTGCTGGCTGGGGGCTCTCTGAAGAGGGAGGGATGCCCCACCTGCAGAGAGCTATCAGCACCGAGATATGAGAGGAAAGGGCACTGACTATGCCAGGAACGAGAGGTCCTCGTGGGAGAAGACAAGGGGCTCCCTGCTGTTATTCCCCCCCTGGAGAGTAAGAACAGAGGTATCTGGGGTGGGGGTGAGAGGCAGGGGGAGAAAGAGTAGTGAGGGGCAATGGAGAGACAGGCAGGACCTCTGGCTTTTTCCTATGAATTAAAAACTGGAGCCACTGCCATAAGATCAAGAGATTAAGCTTAGAATGCAGCAAAGTCCAAAATGCAGCAAAGTCCAAAAGCCCAAAGAAGCAATGTCGGTCCCACTCGGCAACTTCTTCCTGGTCCTCTCAGCCCCTCTCGCTGGCAGCGATGGAGAGAGGGAGGCAGCTTCCTCCTGGAGTCGGCTGGTCCCCTGGGACGACTCCACTCTAACTGCAGATGCATGAGCACAGCTAGAAAGAGCTCCCGTGCTTCCCTGTGCTACAGCACAGACCTTCCCAGTCTCCACCAGAGCACTCCGTGCACGAAGCAGGAGTCTCTCTGAAGCCTCTCTAAGCCCAGACCTTACACCAAGTCCATTTCTCTTTGAGGATCAGCCAAACCCTGACCCAAGGCTCCAGGACTTCCATAAAGGTGGGTATAACACTCCATTTGTCCAAGTATGTGTGTGTGTTGGGGGGGTCCAGGAACCCAGCTACAGAGAAGTCAGGGAATCTTACACTCAAGGGCACAAGAGTGGAGTGAGAAGGCAGCCTCCATGCAAGGATGACTTCATGCCCAGCCCCCACCAGCTCATCCCTCAGCATCCTCTCCTCTCTGCTCCCTCCTGGCACTCTGTTTCTCTAGGAGAGAGGAGGAGGAGCAGCTCAGACTACTCCTTCCCAGGGTTCTGTGCTCTCAGGGCGCAGCCTGGCACATGCAGGGCTGAGGAGGCCACAGCTCTGAGGGCACCTGGCAAGTAGCATGAGACCAGGGGAGAGGGCAGGCCTTGGAGAGAGTGTTCTGGCTTGGGAGTTCAGTGGCAACAGCCACCACAGTGCCCACCCGCATGGGAATGCTGACTGTCCCCAAACTTGGTCCTCCGGCTCAGGATTTCGTAGGAGCAGTCCTCCCCACAGCAACCAGACATGCTGGGGGAAGAATCATCGATTTCAAATCTGCAAGGAGGCAGGAGGAAAGGGTTGGTTGCAGGGAGCTGACTGCTTTCCTCCCTGGCCCAAGAACTTTTCCACCAGCCATACTCATGAGACCCCTAGGAGTGAGGGGGCAGGAAGAGGGCAGGAAATCAAGCCAGAGGACACCCCCAGGTCATCCACCAACCCCCAACCCTCATGACCACTGGACAGGAGCTCAGGCATCAGGATGAATGGGGGCCAGGACCAGGAAAAAGGCAGTGTGGTGGAAAGTCCCACACCAGGGCCCAGCTCCTTACTGCAGCGCTTCTCTGAAGAACTGGTAGGCGCCATGATTGTGCTTAAATACGGTTAACATAACCTTCTTCATCTGTGTGCTAGAAGAAAGCAGAGAGAATACCTTGTAGAAAGAGACAGCTGCTAAGTCATGTTTTCTCTCCCGGGCCTCTGCCTGCCCCTCAGAAGCACTTCTGAGCCCTGAGTCCAGCCTCTGCCTGGGGCTTCCCTGATAGGGGCTGATGAGACTGTACGGGCAGTCGCCCCCACCCCCACCTGACCAGCTTCTCCACTTCCTCTCTGCATCCCCATTGTGCACTGAGGTGCATGTACAAAATCTGGGGTCACAGCAGGACAGGGAATATCTTGCTGAGAGGGTTCTAGACGCCTTTCTTCTGAAACATTCCCGTGAGCCTTGTCCTCCACGGAGTCACACAGAACAGCAGACAAGTCAGGCAGCTCCTTCCAATTGTGTGACACATGCAGTGGCCCTTACCTATTGGCCATGAGCTGCAGAATCTGTATGAGGAACTTCCCCAGGCCTTTCCGCCGCACCTTGCTTTCCAACTGCACTTCATAGCTGGTGGAGAAAGCAGAGACATGAGCATGAAGGGGCTGCAGGGCCCGTCAGAGGAGCCTGTGGCCCCTGGCAGCCCACAGACTGACAGGCACAGTGGACTGTGCCACCCAGCTGGAGTGCCCAGGGCAACACCAGGGTCTCCTCCCCACACCGCACCGCAAGCCGAGCTCCTACCAGTACAGGACTTCATCCCCACACTCCACGTCAAACCGGAAGTGAGAAAAAGCAACGGGGACGGAACTGTTTTCCCAAGCGATGAGGTACCAGGCTCGGTCATCTGTCATTTCCTCCCGTTTTTCTCGGTCCTTCCAGCCCCACTCGCTTTGCTCATACCTGGGGAAGTGGGGGGCAGTTAGGACCGGAACCATGGGAGAGGAAAGCCAGCCTGGAGAAGAGACCCTGAGGTAAGGGCGTGCTCACATGGTTTGCATGTTGGTTTTGGTCAGGTCAAAGGCCCAGTCCACGGTGGTTGGCTCCAGTCCAGACACTCGCTTACATTCAATGGAGACATTTAACCTGAGAAGAAAAGGAAGTATTTGAAGCTGGCTCCAGCCCAGTGCTGCCCCACTGCCCAGAAAGCCTAACAAAAAGGGTGCCTGGTCTGTTAATCTACACAGAATTGCCAAGCCTTGCCTTGCCTCCCTGGACATGACTACAAAAGATGCCTGTTAAGGACCTAAGCCTTTTGGGCCAAGATTAACAACTGTCATCACAGGCGCACCACCTGACCACAAGTGCCATTTCCTGCCTTCCCTGCAGGGCCCTTATCAGACTCGCTCGTTATAAACTTCTGTCCCTCTCTGCTGCCTCTTTGCTCCCTCCACCCTGTCTTCTGTACTTTGTTACAAACACTTGAGTCTTCTCTGTTCCCTTAGCTCCTGCCCTCAGGCGTATTTCCTGTTGCTTTCATCCTGAACAGACTCCTCACTGGACTCCCCTGGGAGCTCTTCCTTCTTATCTACCACACTCTCCCTTGAAAGCATCTGGGTGACCTCCAGCCCCTCTAAGAAGAC